AACACTTCAAAGGTGAACCGAAGAAAATTACCTGTGTCAAGGAAGGATCAAGAAATAAAAGTATGTGCATTTCAGGTCTATCGCTGTGAACCAATCCTGGTATCTGAGACACGTTAACATGCGTCTCTGAGTGAGCTTCTTGAGCCTGTGAAAGACCGATTCTGGATCTACGAGTGCTGAACTGAGCCTGATTCCCCCACCCCTTTTGGGTACGATGAGGTAAGGGCTGTAGAAGCCCTTCTTCACCTCGGCTGGAGGGACAATGCATCCTTTGCTAGAAGGACTGCAATCTCTGCAGCGGGACTCTCGCCTCGTACAGAAGAAAAAAAAAAGAGAGCCACTGTACCTGGGCGGGCACCTGGTGAACTGATTCACATAACAAAGCCGAATTGTCCTGAGTAGTCAACCATGCATCCAAACTCCATAGCAGCGGCACTAAAGGAACTAAAGGAAGCTGTACAACAGTTTCTTTGTAGCCTGTTGATGGGCTGACTGTGCCACCTTCCTGTGAGAGGACCGTTGTTGAGGTCCAGCTGCTGGTCCAGACGATGTCTCCAACACTGAAGGTGAAGCTTGTAGCCATCCGAGGGAGACATGAAACGACCCAGTACACATTTAAAATCCTAAGGGGAAACCCTATGCACATACGTGAACTGATATACAGTAGATAACCAACATATGGCATTTAAAGGCAAGTAATCACATCCGTGACTAAGCACAACAGACAATAACAAACACAAATGCAAATCAGTAGATAAATTCATTTCTTTCTTTCCTGCCCGTGTTACCTGCGTGAAGTTGGCTCCCTAGCCAATGCAAAACGTCGGCAAAATAGCATGTGGGGTGGCTGAATGACCTCAGAATGACCTATAAATATTCTTTTAATATTTAAAAAAATAAAATAATCGAAGCAGCACAAAGGAAAATTTTACCAGCACAAAATATGCCCGATGAAGGTCAGGAGACCGAAACGTTGCGAATAAATATTCTGATACTTTTTGCAGTAAATATAGATCAAGCAAATAGCAGATAGTGTGGAGGATTTCCTTTTGTTTTTGCTGGGGCTGAGTGACCTCAGAATGACCTATAAATACTCTTTTAATATAGCACAAACGATTGAGACTATTTTGCCGGTGTGTTGCGTTGGGTGGGGTGCCAACTTCACGCAGCTTTTTATAAGCACTAAGTTACCATTCGAACTGATCTAGGACCAATTATCAGCATAATATGACTGAAGCCATGTTTATTCAATTTTGCATTAGTGGCGGGCAAATCACAAGGGGTGCTTCTCAAACAGAAGGCTGCATATCTCAGCTGCCACATCATCATGTGCCGCCGAAGGTAATGAGTTTAAACTAATCATGACCACCTTTACAACAGTTTACCATGCTTTATTGTGGTAAATTTGGACTAATTTCATGTAGAATTTAAAATAGATAATCTGATAAAGTAAAAGATTATACACTGATGAGCCAAAACAGTATGACCAGTCACAGTCTAGGTATAATAGATGATAGATTAGATGGTAAGCAAACAATCAGTTTTTGTAAAAGAAGGTTATGAAAATCCAAAATGGCTGGAACATTTTAGATATGGAAATGGAAATTTGGAAACTGCCTGCAGCGAGGAGCATGTTCTTTTAAAACTGGACCAGTGAGTGGGAACTGAATGCTTGAGAGGAGTATTTAAAGTGCTATAAACGGTGCCAACCCATTGTGGAGTTAATTTGAACCGAGCAGTATAGACCTATTCGCAAAGACCGGAAGTAGCTAACTGCGGCCATATTGTTGACATGACAACTGTCCTAGCCGTGCGCAGATTTGAGTTGAGGGGAGCAGTCACGTTAGCCTAATGGCTTTGTCTCGTCTGTATCAAGAGAGAAGATAAGCTTGATTGGTGTGGACCCATATCAAATAGACCCAATAGCCTTAAGTAAAGATCCGTCCTTATCGCCACCCGTAATGTATCCAGATATTTATAACTATCTCGTTCATACAGCATCCGCATACACTTCGCAGGAACTGAAAGCGCTGTAACAAAATAACACACCATACAAGCACTAATTCCCTAACTAGTATCAATGCCAGCCCTATATGTTCATAGGTAAGCTACTGTCACTACTAACTGCAAATTACTGCATGATACTGATGTCTGATCATGCCTGAAAACTCTGTGTAGGTATAAACTGTGTTTTGGGGATCTGGCTAACTTAAGCCCACAAAGAACAATATCGTATTAATAGTAATTTAATAATTGTCTCAATTTATGGCAGCTTTCTCTATTTGAAAGAGCAGTTTCAGCCACTGCTTACAGCTAACCATATGTGATAAAATTATGGGGACAGACTTTGCTGTGAGGTAAGGTTTAGTTATCTAAAAACTGTATATGTGATAAAATGATGGGAACAGACTTTGCTGTGGGGAGTTGGCTGAAAGTTTAGCCTATTTATCCTAGCTAGACACAATTCTCTCCTGCGCTGGCTCAACTCCTCTGTCTCATTCCCTTCATGTTTTCTGACAGTCCGTATCGCATAAAAAACTAACTATGGGGGTTCTTATTGCTGTTGTTAGAACAGCCGTGTATGACACAACACACCATCGCGCTGTTTAAAAAAAAAAAAAATACAGCGATAATACCTACGCTGCCTCGCTTGTCAATTGACAGACTGACAGTTGTCGTGGTTTCTATGTCAACAACATGGCCGCCGCAAACATTGATGACGTAGATCGAATAACATCTATAACAACTATGTAAGGACTGGGCTAAAAGGGTGAATCTGAATAACTAAATACATCCTGTTAAATACCCAAAAAGCCTGGAATGTAAATTTACACACACACGCATTCCCCCACCAGTGAAGACCACGCTCAGGACAGAGCTTGGTGTCCAGTTACGAGACATTTTTATGGCTGACTTGAATGTGATTCCAAAGAGAAAGAAACTTCTTTTCTTTAAAAGACATTTAACCCGATATATTCGATGTGTTTTTATGTGTGTCCATTTGCCCATGTACTGACACATTGTAATGACTATAATTTGTCCGTAACTTAAAAGTGAATTATAAATACCCTAGATGTATTTTAATGTAAATGTTTACCTATAACAGTCGTGTTTGATATCGTAAAAATGCCCTGGACTTGACTCAGCCAGATATATGTATGAACACACCGTAAAAGGTATGATTATGTGCATAACACATCTCTGCAGTAGAAATGACCAGTCCTAACACAGGTCATAATTTAATTAGACAAGCAGTCTGACAAGACAAAGAGAAATAAAACCCAAAGTCCCGCCTGTAAACTTCCAACCCTCTAATTGGCCAAGCCAACAGGAAGAGGCTGGATTTCTCCAAAAGTGATAAATGACGCTTCCCCCCTCCGCTCGCTCTCTTCCTCCCTTGTCCTCGTGTTATAATGTAACGTCTCGCCTCCGGGTGAGCTCTTCGCCTTTCTTTTTATTTGTTTCTAGTTTCGTTTGTGTTTTTCAGTTTTAGATAAGTCTCCGTGTTTAATTCCAATCGACGAGTGAAAAGAAAACCGCGTGACATATCTCTTCAGCAAATCCATCTACAAGGGACCTTTAAACGAGCGCGCTCGCTTTGAAGGAGAAACACGCGCACGTGACCGCGTGACGCGCCGGACCGAGCGACGCACGCGCTTCTTCACCAGCCATGCAAAGATGTAACGTTAACTCCGCGTGATTTCCCCGTAGAGATCTTTATTTCTTTTTTGTTAGTCAAAGTTTTGTTTTCCGTAGTCGACTCAGTTCACTTCCACGAAGTGAAACGAACTTAGCCGAACTATTTCCCTTTGGAAATGTTACCCCAAAGACTTTGAACCTCCGTTCAACACGCGCGCCAAGCAGCCCACGTGACGCTTCCTCACACACAAAGGACTCAGCTCACGCGGCCAGACAGGGCCGTACAGGAATGCCTCGGCACAGAGAGACCATAACATAACTTGTGCAAGTATAATCTCTTTATAGAGCTTCTAAGAAGCTTTAAGATGATGTTTCGTGTTGTAATCAGAGAGGTGAATGTCTTAGGAGGAATTCTGCTAATGTTCTGTGTCTCTCTCTCTCCCTCTTACTTGCTCACGCCTGTAAGTTATCCATTGTCCAAACTTTACGCATTTCTCGTTCATTGATGTCTTATCGTGTTTTGTTTGTTTATTATGTTTGTAAATACATATATCCCCTGTAACCGTAGTAAATACATAAGTAGTCATGCCTCTATTAAATTAATTATATATTCATTTGATTGATGTACTGTCTCTTTGCTCAGTTTCAAGTCCCTTAAGTGCCAAAGATCTTATGCTACAAGCTTACTAAAATTAAATATACCTTAAAGAGTATGTTTATAGGGCGGGAAACCCAATTCTTCTGGCCAGAGAATTGCTTTTCCTGAAATCCTATAAAGTAAGATGATATTGTGGATCCCCACAAATATTATCCTGACAATTGAGCTAAATCATTTTACCTTTTTTGTGAAACGTGGTCCGTGTAATTAATTGCAATCAACTTGTGGTTAATTTCAAGGATTCACCTGCATGCATGCAGGTAAAATGACAGATCCTCCCTTATCGGGAGATTTATTAACATGTAAGACTGATCTAATCCAAACATGTATGAATAATTATTAATTACCAATTATTAATTATGATATGCAAATTCCCCACGGATTAGATCCGCCCTTGAGTCTTTACAACTAGTAAATTAGACCAGCGTGTTGGGTTTAACATTTAATACAGCCCAGTGCTGGTTTTTAACCCAGCATTTTTTAGTGTTTGGTAACATCACATGACCATAAAAATATGATTTAAACTTTACATTTACTTCTTTAAACCATATTTTAAGAAAAGGCATGATAAAGGATTTTGTATTTTATATATAATTACCCTGAACAAAACAGCATATGGGCTGAATGAAAACTCGCTATCGAACTCTAGGTGATGCTTATGGAACCGCAGAAATAGAGAGGTTACCCCTGTACACAAAGCAGAACTGCACTTATAAATGTACTTTATTATAAACTTTATTCAGCATTATACAGAGGTATGAAGAAAAGAAAACACCATTGACACTTTTCTGAAGACAGCCAATTCACACATTTATTTAAAAACACCCCTCCCAAATAATAATAAAAAAACAGCTTTATAATTGTACTGACATTCCATTTAATTTTGGGCAATGCTTTTTACTGTGAACCTGTGTAGTTTTGGAACAATTGAATCTCTTGCCACACTGATGGCATTGATATGGCTTCTCTCCAGTGTGAATTCTCTCATGTGCTTGAAGGGCTCCAAACTGTTTGAAACTCTTTTCACAATACGAACACTTGTAAGGTCTTTCTCCAGTGTGAATCCTTTGGTGCACTTTCAACTGAGTGGCTGTAGTAAAAGCTTTACCACAATCAGAGCACAAATACTCTTTCAGACCAGCGTGTATTTTCTGATGGTCTTTAAAACGGCCGAGCCATGAAAACGTCTTTCCACAAACAGAACACAAGTAAGGCTTATCTTTTGTGTGAACTTTCCTATGGCCCTTTAAATCTGATTCCTTAACAAACTTCTTATCGCACTGATCACAATCAAATGGCTTTTCTCCAGAGTGAATGAGCTTATGAATTCTGATACTATATGACCATTTGAAACTCTTTTCACACTGATCACATTTAAATGGCTTCTCTTCAGTGTGAATTTGCATGTGACTGCTAAGGTTTCCTTTATTTATGAAACTCTTGCCACACTGAGGGCATGTGAACGGCTTCTCACCTGTGTGACGTCTTGTGTGAACAATAAAGACTGAATTACATGAGAAGCTCTTTCCACATTGAGGACAGGTAATAGTCTTTTTGGCTTTTGCTCTTTGAGATTTTGTCTCTCCTTTTTTTTCTCCAGTTCTGGCATCATGAATGTTCTGAATCGGAGGGGTCTTCTCTTTTTCATTAAATTCTTCACTTTCCTCTTGCACATTCATCGAGTCTAAAATGGAAATACAATATTTTTAGATGCTATTTTTTGCTTCTATGAATCTTTAACAACTATCTACAATTCTGTTCATCTGTCAGAAAATGTGTTTCATTCAGGTTTTTCAGCCGTCATTAATACAGAATCAAGAATGGACACCAACCTATTTGTTCCTCTGTATCTTTAGCTTTCACTCCACATGCTTCTGAATTTCTAATATCACCATTGTCCCCTTTAATTACCTCCATCTTTACAACAGCTTTCATTTGGGAATGGCTTGGATGAAGGTGTGAGCAGTGATTGTTATGAGTTTTGGAGGACCAGATCTGAAAAAAAGTACAGTACAGACATTACTTCATACAATTAATTCCACTTCAACTTTATTCAATGATTCAACTAATTAAATGCATTTTAAATCTTAAATGAGACCACTGTGTCTGACACAGGACACAAAAAGAAGAGCTATAATAAAGTAATTGTAACCTTGGGGGTAGGGCTGTGCAAAAATAGGCCTCGTTTAAACTGTCAGTGAAATGTGACCCAATTCCGATTTTTTTGCTCATATATGACACAGATCGGATGACCGTGTAAACAGGAAAAAAACGCATGCATTCGGATATTTTGAGATCGATTTCAGGCCTCGTTCATATGTGGAAATAATAATATAATAATACATTTTATTTAAAAGGCGCCTTTCTCTGCATTCAAGGACGCCGTACAGGGATACATAAGACATTTAAAAGCACCAGAAATAAATAAACAACAACATAAATAGGCAGAACAATTGACATTAAGTGAAATAGGCCGTTTTAAACAGATGTGTTTTGAGTTGCAATTTGAAATGGGAGAGTGAATCGATGTTTCTGAGTTGGGGTGGTAATGAGTTCCAGAGACAGGCAGCAGAGCGGCTAAATGCTCTGCTACCCATAGTGGTAAGACGGGCGGGGCGGGGGGGGGGGGGGACAGACAGGTGTATGGAGGAAGAGGATCTAAGGGAGCGGGTGGAAGTTGGACCCTGGAGGAGATCAGACAAATATGGGGGGGCGAGTTTGTTGATGGCCTTGAATGTTAACAGAAGGATTTTGAATTGGATACGGAACTGGACTGGGAGCCATTAAAGCTGTTGGAGAACAGGAGTGATGTGGTGGATGGAGGGGATTCGAGTTATGATGCGGGCAGCTGAATTCTGGACGTTGAAGTTTATGAAGGGATTTGTGAGGGAGGCCGAAAAGGAGAGAGTTGCAGTAGTCCAAACGGGAAATGACAAGAGGACGGCGGCAGTGTGTGGGGTAAGGGAGGGGCGGAGGCGATTAATGTTTCGTAGATGGAAGTAGGCAGACTGGCTAATGTTATTGATGTGGGACTGAAAAGATAATGTGCTGTCAAGGATGACACCCAGACTCTTAAAGGGGCATTATGCAGAAATCCCGTTTTTGTCAAACAGCGACCCCTAGAGTTACTGTGGAGTGCTTGAATTTAACGTTACTGTCGTAAATACCACTCACTCAGAGCGTGACATGGCCTGTTACATAGATAGTATACAATAGTACATTGTGTTTAATTTGTCGTTTAATGAGATATAATATATGTTGTTAGTGGTGAGAATTTTCACGTGATTAAATACATAGATCCGACAATTTTAATGGTCCAGAGGCAGAACTTTTGCAAGTGTGTCAGAGGTTCTGGGTTCTAGTCGGTACTAGTAGTATAGTTTATTTTCCTCATCAAAACCGATTGTTTATTAGTGGTTGTATTTCAAGCAGGGACATGTTTTTTGTGCATTAGGTTTTGTGATTTTACCATAACAAAATATAGAGAGTATCTCAGTCCCCGCAACGGATTCAGGCGCGCATCACAACAGAACACTGTAACTTATCTGCACCACTGATCGCAGAGGCAACGAGCACTTTGGTCACTTGATTTCAAAAATAACACATTTCAGATCGCCTCTTATTTAACAAACGAACGAAATAAATGCTCTACTAGAGTTACCTGGAGATGTTTTATTTGTTTGTAATGGTAACGTTACATCCGTGCCGCGAGAAGTTTCAATGGGGACATAACACACCCGCAAATTATGCCTATGCTCGTGTCCGACTCCTCGCTCGGTCAGTCTGCCGTTTCCTCTTTCTCTGTTCCTCCGACAATGCTTTCCTAGCTTTCTGCATCTTATATGCCGGCTCAGCCATGACGATAGTGTGACAAACTCCATCCATCTACCTTGTTCCTGTGTGTATGTATGCAGTTGCCGTAAAGGAATATGTTACATCGCGAGAGCTGATATCACGCGATACTTCCTGACGCGGCCCGCCGCACCGAAGTTGCAAGTGGGATTTTTTCGCTCACAGGCACCAGGGGGGGTCGAGACGCCCACCATTCAACCCGAAAGAAGTTATATAAACATTTCAATAACTCTGAAGCTGTTCAGTTAAGCTAAAAAAGCTGCATAGTGTCCCTTTAACCTGGGGAGAGGGTGAAACGGAGGAGTTATCAAAAGTGAGAGAAAAACTGTCGGTTTTGGATGAAGGATGTCGGTTTAGTGCCAATGAGGAGAACCTCAGTTTTAATCACCGTTTAATTTGAGGAAATTTCGGGTAAACCAGGTTTTTTTTTAGCCCTGGGGCACACCTGAAGTGACGATGGAGGGACTGGATTTGAAAAACTTAAATTGGATGAACTGAGCGCGGACAGATAGGTAAGATGTGAACCAGTCTAACGTAGTATGGGTGATGCCGATGGAAGATAACCTGTTGAGGAAGGTGGTGTGACAGATGACAGATGGTATCAAAGGCTGCACTCAAGTCGAGGAGGATGAGGATGGTAAGGAGTCCAGAATCAGCTGCCATAAGGAGGTCGTTGGTGATTTTGATAAGTGCTGTTTCAGTGCTATGAAGTGGACAGAAACCGGACTGAAACCGTTCATACAGGTTATTGTGGGATAGATGAAAATGGAGTTGAGAGGCAACTGTTTTTGTAAGGATTTTGGAAAGTAATGATAAATTGGATATAGGATGAAACTTGTTGAAGTTGGAGGGATCAGCCCCAATTTTTTTTCAAAATTGGGGTCTTGGCAGCAGTTTTGAATGACGTAGGGACAGTTCCAGTGGTGAGAGAGGAGTGGATGATAGCAGAAATGAGGGGAACCAGGGAGGGAAGGCAGGCTTTAACAAGTTGTGTGGGAAAGGGGTCAAGTTGACAAGTGGAAGGCTTGGAATTCCTGATGAGTTCTTCTGTGATTTCTAAAATAGCGGGGAGCTGGAAGTAAGAGAATGAATGTGTGGATGGGTGAAAGTCGGCTGAGATGCTGAGGTGAGGGATAGATCCAAGGTGCTGGTGGATGTTTTTGATTTTGTCAGTGAAAAATGACATAATGGAGTTGCAGAAGGAGGTTGTGTACAAGTGAGGGGGGAGAAAGTCCTGAGGTTGGGTGATATTGTTAAGTAAGGAAAAAAATGACTTGGGAGTTTCCTTTATTGGCAATGATTATACTGGAGTAGTAGTGGGCTTTTGGTGCTAGTAGAGTCCTTATAAAGTAAGATGTGGTTATTGTACATTTCTTTGTGAATAGTGAGACCAGTTTTTCTATAAAGACATTCAAGTTGCCGCCCTTTGGCTTTCATGAGACAAAGATCGGGTGTAAACCAAGGGGTGGAGATGGAAAAAGAGAAACAGATCTGTTTTTTAACGGAGCAAGGGAGTTAAGAATACTAGGGAGTCCAGTGTTGTAGTGAGAGACGAGATCATTGGGGTTGGATAGATTGTGAGTGTCAGGGAGGCAGAAGGAGTGGATACTTGAAGCGAGAGTGTCAGGATTGATATTCTTTATATTCCAAAAATTGCAAAGGGACGGATGGCCCGACAAAATGTTGTGTCGTCGTAGGAGAGGAATGTGGACAAACGTTGACACAACATATCAAAGGTTGGCTTGCTAATATTAAAATTAAAGCCTGCCACAATATGCTCCCACCAGTCCTGAGATATTTCGCACACAATCACTGAAGCACATGCGCAGGCCGCAATGATGGCCCTTTTTGTCCTCCTCCGCCTCAAAATCACGGTGATGTTTGGCGAACTTCGCATATCTCAGAGCTAGCATCAAGCATATTTTGCGTTCGTCCATCTGTGCAAGACAATTTAACCCTTTAAGCAAGCGCAATGTTTCAGATTGTATGGCAACTGTAAACACATGAATTGGATATGGGTCACAATTGAAAGAACGTGTAAACGTATGGTAAAAAAAAAAAGCGGATATAGGCAACAAATCAGAATTGAACAAGACCTGCAGTGTAAACGAGGCCATAGATGCAGCTAACTTTCGCAATGTTTTTTTTCCACGATAGTTTATCGATATTCCAACCTCTAATATCGATACTTAAAAAAATAATTTCAAAAGTACCAAGTAGTCACACAGTGATAAAAAATTAAATCTGAACCGAAAAAATTGCATCGATAATCATTTTATCATCGCAGCTCTCTGAATCCGAATCGAATCGAATCGTGAGGTGCCTAGAGATTCCCACCCCTACTCCACATGATGAAAATTTTTTATTTGACCATTCAGGCGCAAAGAGAACTGAATTTGGGATCCAGCATTGAGTTTATTGAGACAACTTAATGCGCATAATAACTTGATAAAACTCTTTTTGAAGACCCTTAATGTACACACACACACTACTTTGACATCTGACTTGATCTTCTCCACGCTGTCTACTATCCCGCCTTCACTAATGGCAAGAAAATCAATCTCGTTTGCACATGCACAAATGAATTTAACCATCTAACTTGCAAGCACCAGACCACTGATTCACCAAACCTGCTTGCTTGCAGTATGTGTTCTTCTGACTTTATTTTGTAGTAAGTAATGAATATGCTTCAAGGAGATGTATGGGAGTAAAAGTATACATTTTATTTAGGAAATGTAGTGGAGTAAAAGTAAAAGCTGACAAATATAAGAACTCAAGTAAAGTACAAATTCTCCCAAAAAATATTTAAGTACTGTAGCAAAGTATTATTACATTACACCACCACTGGTATTTAATAACAGAAAATGCATAGTCCACTGCATGACACAGTTTATATGTAATACTTTAAAGCTGCTTGCATTAAAGCATTTACATATTGTACAAAGTGCTATATAAATAAACGTGCCTTCGGGGGAGTGCTTGAAATACAGAGCTTGTGCAAACATATTCACGTCAGACGCTATCTTGCTGATGTTTTATCACCGTTACCATTTTTGTTGTGTGTTAATTTTGTTATTGAGAGGAGAGCGTGCAGTCCAAATTTGTATATTCTATTGAAACGACACTCTCAGCAGAGTGCGCAG